CGAAGCCCAGCTCGCGGCCATCCTGCCCGATCGATGCCAGCGCCAGCGCGCTCTGCTCAGCCCGAGCCCCGCCCATTCCCGAAAAGAGATGCATCCATGCGTGCATGTCTTCATTCCTTCATCTCTCCCCCCTTTTTCCTCATCTCGCCCCTCCCCCCCCCGCCCCCCATCCCCTCCTTTCCCTCCTTCCCCTTCCCTCCATTTCCGCCTCTACATCCCCCTATTGCGCCCTTTCACTATCCCTCGACCCTTCGACCCCCCCCCCTCCACGCTGGCCGAAGTGGGGGGGGCTCGTGACATGAGCAGAACCTCGGGCGTCGCCATCCGTCCTTGTGAAGCCGCAGCGCGAACGCATATAGCAGCTCGATGGACTCGCCCCGGAAGAGCTCCATCCAGTCCACCAGCATGCCGCACGATGTTACTGCTGTCACGATGCCTCCAGTGCAGCGTCTGACTTTGTTGCTCCCGTGGAGTTTGTCAACGCCGCACGCCTGGATAGCTTCCTCCTGCTTGCTGTCCAGAGAAAGCCATCCCTTGCAGCGGCTCCTCAATGAGTGGGCACTGCTTGCGCTGCTGCTCACATCGGCCGCCGCCGGCCGCTTCTTCGACTTGGCTGGAGCTGACCGCTTCGGTGCCGTGGCCAAGGCCCCGCTGGCACTCCCTCTTCCTGATCGGCGGGAAATGCCCGCGGCCTTGCCCTTGCCACCCTGACCGCCTGGGCAGCCTTCCGGGCAGGCGCCCGAGAAGCAGAGCCACGCCGAGCCTTCTTTGCCCCGCCCCGGGCGCCTGCGCCATTGCTCGCCGCGACCGAGCTGGCCGGCTCACAAGCCGGCGCCTGTTTCCTCAGCCAGCGCGCAAATTGCCGGCTTCCCTTGATCCACGCCGGGCGCGACTTCTTGTTGCCGTGATCGCCCCGGCTCCGAAGCAGCGACTTCTCGAACTTCGCCAACAAGTCCTTCTCCACCTCGGCTCGCGGCAAGTGCACCTCGAAGGGGCGTTCTGGCAAATCGGGGTCGTAGCAGCTCACCACGTACCGCAGCGCGGAGTCGCCGTCAGCGGCCGGTCCTGGAGGAGCGACGCCCAAGATCTCCTTCTGGGGTATCAAGTGCGCTTGCTCTATCTTGGACGGGCGGCAGAACTTGCAAAAGAATTGTTTCGTGGGGGCATTCCGTTGGCAGCCAGTGTACAACTCCAACTCCAGGCCCTCCATGGGTTCATAGCCCTCCAAGCCGCCGCAGATGAATCGGCGGGCGCCGTGCTTGCCATCAAGCAACACCACGAGCTTGTCAACGCATTTCGGGCACGTCCGCACGTGCTCCGCGATGCGCGCCAGGTGCGCCCTTCGCACGCATGCCGCAATATTCGTAAGGGCGCGCTCTATTCCGCTCTCCGTGAAAGACCACTCAATACTCTCAGCGTTGGCTCCTGCCAGACGAATTGCATTGTGCATGTACCAGGCGTCCTCCAGACGCACGCGCGTGTTGTCTGTCTGCGTCATGAAGTCGCCCAGGATGAGGTTTTGCTGCTCGCGCCCTGGGTGCTGCTTGGCCCACACGTGGATGGCAGATGTGAACGTGCCTCCGCTGCGTTGCAAATCATCAGTTATGAACTGCAACAGCTGCAGGTCCACCGCGTACCACGCTTTCTCCCGGGCCACCACGACGTACGGCAAGGCCGCCTTCGTGGACACGGCGGTGGTGCCAGACATCTTGCCGAAGTTTGCGCGACCGCCGATGCCCGCATTCTTCTTGTACATCCAATTGCCGACGAAGTAGCACTTGCAGGATGGACAATACTCCTCACGGAATCTACAATACTGGACCCCTGCGCCGAGAGTGTAGATTCGGAAACGGAAGTCCTGCGAAGCAGAAGCCGCGCCCCGTTCTTCCCATTTGTTCCCAATGCGGCCTCTGCTTTTGTCTGGCTGGATCACCAGATCACTATTTTCGCATTTCGGGCATTGGCCGTGTGTTGACGAGAGAAGTACAGTCTCCGACTCGGGGCACAACTCCTGCATCTCCTTCAATGCTGGATGATTTAAGTCGTGCTCCCTGGTATTCCCAAATCCCACGTACGACTGCAGCTTCCACAATACATTCTTGATTGCGTTATCTGCAGCCTCGACCTTCAGTTCTTTGCGTAGCAGCGCTCGCACAAAAGGCGGAGCCAATTCGTTTGGCATGCATGATTGCACGCGTGCCACGACCCTAAAGGCAGCTGCAGGTAACGGATGCATTAGTGTACTGAATGAGAAATCTTTCCCCGCCTCCCCAGCCATCTTCGCCAGTCCCCGCTCCGCGTTGGAAAGGGAGCGACAGCGCAGCGCGCGCGTGCGCGCGGGCGCAACCTTGACACGTAAAGTGGCTCCCTAGTGACAGGGGCGATGATCATGATGGCGGCGCGGGCAACGATGCTGGCCCTGGTGACGACGACAACGGCGACAGACGCGACAATGGAAATGACGATGGTTACAACGATGATGGTGTTGACGATGGTCACGAGAATGCTGAACCTCATTCTTATCATGATGATGGTAATGATGGTGATGATGGTGGTGGTGGTGCCGACGATGGCTTTCGCTCTGGTTCTGGATTTGGGTTCTGACTTCTTTGTGCCTCTGCAAACGGTATGGGTACAACTCTGGCTGTTGGTCGGGCTCTGCTTTTGCCTGTCGCCCCGGTTCTACCTGCGGCTCTGTTTCTGGATTTCGGTACGGACCCCTCGCTGGCACTGCTTCTGTCTCTTGTTCTGCTCATGGTATTGGTCCTGGTTCGGGTTCGCCGTTGGATCGCGGTACTGGTTCTGGTTCATTTTTCCTTTGGTTCTGGCTCTGCTTCTAGCTCTGGTCCTGGCTTTGGAACTTGCTCTAGCTCTGGCTGTCGTGATCATTCTTTGCTTTTGGTTCTGGTTCCGGCTCTGGTTCTGGTTCTGGCTCTGGTTCTGGTTCTGGTTCTGGCTCTGGTTTTGGTTCTGGCTCTGGCTCTGGTTCTGGTTCTGATTTTGGCTCTGGCTCTGGTTCTGGTTCTGGTTCTGGTTCTGGCTCTGGCTCTGGTTCTCGCTCTGGCTCTGGTTCTGGTTCTGGTTCTGGCTCTGGTTCTGGTTCTGGTTCTGGCTCTGGTTCTGGTTTTGGCTCTGGCTCTGACTTTGGTTCTCGTTCTGGCTCTGGTTCTGGTTCTGGCTCAGGTTCTGGTTCCGGTTCTTGCTCTGGTTTTGGTTCTGGCATTGTCTCTGGTTCTGGTTCTGGTTCTGTTTCTGGCCCTGGCTCTGGTTCTGGTTCTCGTTCTGGCGCTTGTTCTGGCTCTGGCTCTGGTTCTGGTTCTGGTTCTGGCTCTGGTTTTGGTTCTGGCTCCGGTTCTGGTTCTAGTTCTGGCTCTGGCTTGGGCTCTGGTTCTGGTTCTGGTTGTGGCTCTGGTTCTGGTCCCGGCCCTGTCTCTGGCACTGGCTCTGGTTCTGGTTCTGGCTCTGGCTCTCGCCCTGGTTCTGTTCCTGCCTCTGGTTCTGGCTCTGGTTGGCTTTAACAGTGGTCCTGGTTATGGTCCAAGGTCCTGCCTCTGGCTCTGCTTTTGTTGTATATATTCTCAGCTCTGGCTCAGGCTCTGGTTCTGGCTCTGGTTCTGGCTCTGGTTCTGCCTCTGGCTCTGGCTTTGGTTATAAGTTTGGCTCCGGCTCTGGTCCTGCCTCTGGCTCTGGTTCTGGTTCTGGCTCTGGCTCTGCTTCTGGCTCTGGCTCTGGTTCTGGTTCTGGCTCTGGCTCTGGCTCTGGTTCTGACTCTGGTTCTGGTTCTGGCTCTGGCTCTGGCTCTGGTTCTGGCTCTGGGTCTGGTTCTGGCCCTGCTTCTGGTCATGGCTCTGGCTCTGATTCTGGCTCTTGCTGTGGTTGTGCCTCTGGCTCTGGTTTGGGTTCTGACTGTGGCTCTGGATTTGATTTTGGTTCTGGCTCTGGTTTTGGTTCTGGCTCTGGCTGTGGTTCTGCTTCTGGTTCTAGTTTTGGCTCTGGCTTGGGCTCTGGCTCTGGCTCTGGTTCTGGTTGTGGTTCTGGTTCTGGCTCTGGCTCTAGTTCTGGCTCTTGCTATGGCTATGGTTCTGGTTGTGGTTCTGGTTCTGGTTCTCGCTCTGGTTCTGTTTCTGCCTCTGGTTCTGGCTCGGGTTCTGGCTTTAACGGTGGTTCTGGTTATGGTTCTTGTTATGGGTCAAGGTTCTGCTTCAGGCTCTGCTTTTTGTTAAATCTGTTTTGTCTCTGGCTCTGGCTGTGGCTCTTGTTCTGGCTATGGTTCCAGTTCTGGCTCTGGCTGTGTCAATGGTTATTCTGTGGATCTGGCTCTCGTCCTGGCTCTGGCTCTGGTTCCAGTTCCAGCTCTGGCTCTGGTTCTGGCTCTGGCTCTGGCTCTGGTTCTGGCTCTGGCTCTGGTTCTGGCCCTGCTTCTGGTCATGGCTCTGGTTCTGATTCTGGCTCTGGGTGTGGTTGTGCCTCTAGCTCTTGCTCTGGGTCTCGTTCCGGCCCTTGTTCTCGATCTGTTTTTGATTCCGATTCTGGCTCTGGCTCGGGTTCTGTCTCTTGCTCCGGCTCTGGCTCAAAAGCCCGAGGACGACGGAAACCTCCAGACCCTTGTCCTTCGGGGCCGTTTTCCTTCCGGAGGAGGCAGGGCGCCGTCCGCCGGCTGGCGCTCGCCAATTTGCGCGGCTGCTGGCCGCAGCGAAAAGTCCCGGAGATGACCCCCAGCGGCGGCGCGCACCCGCGACCGGCCTGGAAAAAATAACTGCTCAAAAACCTCGTGCACCAGCCATCCTCGCAGCCGCCCTGTCGCGGTGCTCGTCTCCCCCCTCATCCTCTGCGTTCTCTTCCTCCTCCTCTTCCTCCTCCTCCTCCTCCTCCTCCTCCTCGTCCTCCTCCTCCTCCCTCCCCCCCCATCTGCCTCCTCCCCCCTCTCCCCCACCTCCCCTTGCCACCCCCCGCCGACAGCCCGCGCTTCCGCGGCCTCTTTGGCTGCTTGCGGGGGTTCCTCAGACAGCGGCGCGGTTCAGCTTCTCGCGGAGCAGCTTATCGCGGCGATGGTTCCCGCGCGCTTCCCTGCGCTGCTGCGCCGCCTCCACGGCGGCGCAGCGGTCCTTCGCCTCCTGGACGCCCATGCCCAGGCGCCCCGCCAGGGCAGTGCCCTGCGCCAAGTGGCCGGCACGGAGCACCCGCACCGCCTTCATCACGAGGACATTTTTCTTCTTCTGGTCCGCGACATCCGCCGGCGCGGGCTTCGTCCACGCGGACTCCAACGTGTCGGCGTTATACCACACGAGGTGGCCGTTCGCCACCGTCGCCTTCTGCGACCACGCCGTCTCGTCCAGCCACGCCTCCAAGTCGGCTTCGAAAGCGACCTCCTGCTCCGTCTGCTGCAGAGCATCGCCTGACACGACGCGAAACGCGGGCGGCACGCGAGGGGGGCGCGCGCTCGGACCAATCCAAGGCGAACCAAGCATAAGTCTGAGCGCGCTACTCCCCCTGCTGACAGCCGCTCGTTTCGCGCCGTGCGGCCTGTCAAGTGCTCGTACGGATCCCGCTGGGGGCCCTGCTTCTCCGCGTCCTCCTGCTGGCCCTTGTTCTTCTCCGTCTCTTCCGCGTCCGGCTTGGGGTCGCAGGTCTTCTTCTCGCGTTCCTGCTCTGCGTCCGTTGCGTTGCTCTGCGGCTTCCGCTTGCTGTCGTCCTTTTGCTGGCGCTGCTCCTGCTCCCCATTCCTCTTCTGCCCCCGCTCCGTCAAGTTGTCCCGCGGCTTCTGGTCGCGGCTGCGCTCCTCCTTCTTCGACCCCTCGCCCGAGTGCTTCTGCCGCTTCCAGTCCGCGCCCTCTTCCCCCTCCCTGTCCTCCCTCCGCCGGGTTTTGTCGCTGCTCCAAGAGGTTCCCGCGTGCGTCTGCCAGTTCTCCTGCGGCTGCTCCGAGGCGCGCGACGCGCGCGACCACCCCTGCGTCGGACTGTGGGGCCCCGCGGGGAAAATGCACATTCCAGAAACACGCCAGGCACTGCGACGGATTCTTTACTTCGTTTACTGCCCGTCACGGGCGTGCTCACGGGGGGCCCACGACCGCGAACGCGAACGCGACCGCGACCGCGACCGCGACGACGACGACAACGACGACGACGACAACGACCACGACGACGACGACGCGACGACGACGACGACGACGACGACGACGACGACCACGACGACGACGACGACGACGACGACGACGACGACGACGACGACGACGACGACGACGACGACGACTGCAACGCCAGAGACGACGACGACGACGACGACGCGGGCGGCCCCCGGAATATGCCGGAGGCTTCCGAAGACTCTGGCCGAGAGGGGGGCGATCACGAGCATGATGGCCCCGCTCTGTCTCTTCTGCCTCCGCCCATCGCGGCCCCTGGCGCGCTCCAGAAAGTGCGATCAAGCACCTTCCTCCCCGGGACGCCCGCCCGCCGACACCTCGCCCCAGTTGGCCCTCGACCACGACGTGCTCGTCCACGACGCACTCGACCACCGCGCGCCCGACCACGAGGCCCAACCGCCGCCGCGCGGCCAGGTGTGGCCGTGCCACTCCTCACTCTTGTTTTTCCCCAGCTCGTCCTCCGGCGCCCGCTTCCCCGCGCCCCAGTTGTCCGGCGCGTTCCTGTCTTTGCCGACCCAGCTCCCGCCCTTGCTCTGCCGGCCCCCCTTGTTGTCCTGCGCGGGCCCCTTGGACCGCTCCTCCCTCTTCTCCCGGGGCCCCCTCTCCTTCGCGTCCGCCGGGCCCACGGCAGCGCGCGCCGCGACGCCCATCTCTGGACCAGCTCGAACGTACCACATCTCCTCGTCGTCGCCGTCGTCGTCGTCGTCGGCTGTCTTTCGTCGTTCGTCGGTCGCTGGTCGTCGGTCGTCGTTCGTCGTCGTCGGTCGTCGTTCGTCCTTCGTCCTTCGTCTTTCGTCGTCGTCTTTCGTCGTCGTCGTCGTCGCCGTCGTCGTCGTCGTCGGCGTCGTCGTCGGCGTCGTCGTGGTCGTGGTTGTGGTCGTGGTCGTCTTCACAGCTTCGGTTCTCGTTCTGGTTCGGCACAAGGGGCCGCCCATGCCCCGGGTCCTGCGTGCGGAGCGGGAGGGCCCGCATCAGCCTCACGAAGGGAGCGCGTGCCTTGCCCTCTGCGGGCAATGCGCCACTCATCAGCGTCTGGCATAGCAAGCATAATCGGGCCGCTGTCTGCGAGGCGCCGCCGTCCTTGCCCCAACAACACCCTTCACCTTTGCAGTCGCCCACCATGACACCGGAGACTCTGGCGGATTGCCGGGCAAGCAGCCCTCGTTTGTGCTGGTTGGAGTAGCCTGGAGCCACACCGGCTCCGGACATTCAACAGTGCTCTGGTCAGCCTGTTGACTGCAGCCGAAAACGCGCTCGAAGCTGGGTTCCCCCTCCTCCTCCTCCTCCTCCTCCTTCCCCTCCTCCCTCTCCTCCTCCCCCTCCCCCTCCCCCTCCTCCTCCTCCTCCTCCTTCTCCTCCTCCTCCTCCTCCTCCTCCTCCTCCTCCTCCTCCTCCTCCTATCCATCATCGTCCTCATCGTCGTCATCCTCCTCCCCCTCCTCCTTCTCCTCCTCCTGCTCTTCGGTTTCACCGTCCTCCATTCCTCCATGTCCTTCTCCTCCTCCACCTCCTCCTCCACCTTCTCCGCCTCCTCCTCCTCATCCTCCTCATCCCAATCCTCTTCCCACTCCTCCTCGTCATCATCCTCCTCCTCCACCTCCTCCTCGTACTGCTCCTCCCCCGCCTCCTCGTCCTCGTCCTCCTCCTCTTCCTCCTCCTCTTCCTCCTCCTCCTCCTCCTCCTCTTCTCCTCCTCCTCCTCTTGTCCTGCTCCTCATACTCTATACCCCATCCGCCTCCCATTGCCCGGGGATCCCGCCTAGTGTTCCGGGTCTGGACAGGAGTGGTGGCGACCGATTGGGGCGTCCAAGATGACCCAAGATAGCCTCCAAGACCCAGGAGGCCTCAGAACACCCAAGATGACCTCCAATATAGCTACATATATCTCCAAATAGCTGCAGATCCGCCACCGCGCCCCCTACGTTCAGGCGCGGTAAAATGTCGATCGCCCTCTCTTCCTGAGGATCTGTCGACCCCAGGGCAAGCCCGCAAGGTCACCACGACCAACACCATCATCATCACCATCATCACTCCATACTAATCAACATCGTCATCCCATAGTAATCATCATCACCACCGTCATCATCATCTTCATCGCCATCGTAATCGTCCTCGTCATCATCGTCATCATCGTCATCATCTCCACCATTGTCATCGTCATCGTCGTCGTCGTCATCATCATCATCATCATCATCATCACACCATCATCATCATCATCATCACCATCTCTCGCTACCGCCACATTCCTCCTCCTCCTCCTCCTCCTGCTCCCCTCCTCCTCCTCCTCCTCCTCCTCCTCCTCCTCATCCTCCCCATCATCGTCCTCATCGTCCTCCCCCTCCCCATCCTCCTTCTCCTTCTCCTCCTCTTCGGTCTCACCATCCCCCATTCCTCCACTTCCTCCTCCTCCTCCGCCACCTCCTCCTCCTCCTCCTCCACCTCCTCCGCCTCCTCCTCCTTTTCCTTATCCCGCTCCTCCTCCTCCTCCTCCTCCTCCTCCTCCTCCTCCTCCTCCTCCTCCTCCTCCTCCTCCCACTCCTCCTCCTCATCCTCCTCCTCCACCTCCTCCTCGTACTGCTCCTCCCCCCCCTCCTCGTCCTCGTCCTCCTGTTCCCCCTCCTTCTCTTCCTCCTCCTCCTCCTCCTCCTCCACCTCCTCCTCCTCCTCCCCCTCCTTTCCTCCTGCTCCTCATACTCTATACCCCATCCGCCTCCTATTGCCTGGGGATCCCGCCTAGTCCGCCGGGTCCGGACAGGAGTGGCGGCGACCGATTGGAGCGTCCAAGATGACCCAAGATAGCCTCCAAAACCCAGGAGGCCTCAGAACACCCAAGATGACCTCCAATATAGCTACATAATATATCTCCAAATAGCTGCAGATCCGCCACCGTGCCCCCTGGGACGTTGAGGCGCTGTAAAATGTCAATCGCCCCCTCTTCCTGAGGATCTGTCGACCCACGCAAGCCCGCAAGGTCACCATCACCAACACCGTCGTCATCGCAATAATCACGCCATCGTAATCATCATCACTATCACCATCATCACATAATATACATCATCATCATCACCGTCATCATCATATTCATCGCCATCGTAATCGTCGTCGTCATCATCATCACCGCCATCATCATCGTATCGTCGTCGACGTCGTCGTCGTCAACGTCGTCATCATCACCACCACCATGGTCATCATCTCCCGCAATCGCCACATTCCAGCAACACCTCTTCTTCTCCTCTGCCCACCGGGCGACCCGGCGACCCGGCGACCTGGCGACCCGGCGACGCGGCGACCCGGCGACCCGGCGACCGAGCGACCCGGCGACCCGGCGACCCGGCGACCCGGCGACCCGAGGACCCGGCGACCCGGCGACCCGGCGACCCGGCGACCCGGCGACCCGGCGACCCGGCGACCCGGCGAGCGACCCGGCGAGCGACCCGGCGACCCGGCCACCCGCGACCCGGCGACCCGGCGACCCGGCGACCCGGCGACCCGGCGACCCGAGCGACCCGGCGACCCGGCGACCCGGCGACCCGGCGACCCGGCGACCCGGCGACCCGGCGACCCGGCGACCCGGCGACCCGGCGACCCGGCGACCCGGCGATCCGGCGATCCGGCGACCGGCGGCGCGACCCGGCGACCCGGCGACCCGGCGACCCGGCGACCCGGACCCGACCCGGCGACCCGGCGACCCGGCGGGCGACCCGGCGAGGACCCCCGGCGACCCCGCGACCCGGCGACCCGGCGACCCGGCGACCCGGCGACCCGGCGAACCCGGCGACCCGCGCGACCCGGCGAGCGGCGACCCGGCGACCCGGCGACCCGGCGACCCGGCGACCCGGCGACCCGACCCGGCGACCCGCGACCCGAGCGACCCGGCGAGCGACCCGCGACCCGGCGACCCGGCGACCCGGACCCGGCGACCCGCGATTCGCGCCCCCCCCCGCCCTTGTCCAAATCGCCCTCTTAATTTTTCGCCCAAAATCCCCCTGTAGGGGGACACGCCGGACTCAAAGCTGGTTGGAGGACGCGTAATGGGGGCTCGGTAAATGGGGGGGCAGCCAGGGCTGCCGAAAAGGAGCCCTTTAGTGCCCCTCAAAGGGGCCCTTTGGGGCCCAGGAGAGGGCCTGCAGGGCCCGAAAAGGGCACCTTTCTTCCCACCCGACTTATCGCCCCCCATTGGTTCGCGCCCGAGCTGGTGGGAGGAGAAGGGCGACCCTTCGGCAAGCGCGTCGCGAGCTGCGCCGCCCCCTCCGCCCCCACGAGGCAGACGAGTCCATCTTCGTCACGGTCGGCAACTCCGTGATGAAGGTGACCGGCCAGGAGGAGGCGCCCCCTGCTGCTGGAGCGGGGCGGCAAAGAGGGGGGTGATGACTAGGGGGGGGGGATATCATGGCGGGGGCCATGATAACTCCTCAGATTTCATGGCGCCTCTTCTGATGTCATTACGTCCCTGGCCCCCCCGCTGGGCCGCGCACATGCCGCCGGTCATGATTTGCACCCCCCCCTCTTGGACCCCCCCTCTTGGCCGCCCCCTGGCTGCTGGAGCGGGGAGCATGCTGTCCGGGGGTCTTGGCTTGTGCTCTTGCGCCTCGCTCTGCAGGTCCGCGCCATCGCAGGCCTCACGCCGGGCCTGCGAGGGCGCCCTCGTGGGCCTGGCGCGAGGCTTGCGCCCGCGGCTGGCCGGCATCACTCTGACGCCAGTGGAGGAAGTGGCGGAGGAGGACGAGGACAGCGGGGAGGAACGAGAAGGAGGGGAGGTAGGACATGCACGAGGAGGAGGAGGAGGAGGAGGAGGAGGAGGAGGAGGAGGAGGAGGAGGAGGACGAGGAGGACGAGGAGGACGAGGAGGAGGACGAGGAGGCGGAGGAGTAAGGGGAGGATGACGAGGAACATAAGCAGGAGGAGGAGAAGGAGGAGAGGGCGATTGCCTGAGGAGGAGGAGGACGAGGAGGAGGACGAGGAGGCGGAGGAGGAAGGGGAGGATGACGAGGAACATAGGCAGGAGGAGGAGAAGGAGGAGAAGACAACAAGGCGATAGCCTGAGGAGGAGGAGGAGGAGGAGCAGGAGGAGCAGGAGGAAGAGATGGAACAAAGGATTGCAGGATGCCGAGAAGGATCAGGCGGAGGGATGCCGACGATCGGAGGGCACACGGGCGGGAGGAGGATGCCCGCGCAGAGGCCCTCGGCCTGCGCCTGCGCCTGGCGGGCATCGCCACCATCATGATCCCCACGATCTACGACCCGTCCGAGCTGCGGTCGGAGTTCAACGGCAAGGCCCCCTCCTCCGCCTCCTCCTCCGCCTCCGCCTCCGCCTCCTCCTCCGCCTCCTCCTCCGCCTCCTCCTCCTCCTCCTCCTCCTCCTCCTCCTCCTCCCCCACCCCTCTTGCCCCCCGGGGGCAAGAGGGGTGGGGGGAAGATGACGAGGACGACGGGAAGGATGACGTGAAGGAGGAAGGAGGGCGGAGGAGGAGGACGGAGGAAGAGGGCGGGAGGAGGAGGGCGGACGAAAGAGAGAGAGAGAGAGAGAGAGAGAAAGAAAGAAAGGCGGAGGAGGAGGTGGACGAGGAAGAGGAGGAGGAGGAGGAGGAGGAGGAGGAGGAGGAGGAGGAGAAGGATGGAGTGGAGGAGCACCCTCCATCGGGTGCCGAGAA